GGAAGGATTTCTTGCCTTACCCTATTTTAGTTTGGATAATCAAACTGATTCAGTATGAGATATAAGTTATTGTTTATCCTTTTCATGTTTTCTTTGACATTGAGTGTCTGTTTCATTATATATATATATATATATATATATATATATATTTATATTCTGCCTTGTGGTGTAGGTTAGCATCCAGACAAATGAGGATGCTTTGAGTGAAGAAGTCCAGACTGACGAAATTCTGAAAAGGGATAAGTGGACCCAAAAACCTGTACATATAAGTATTGGCAAGGACGAAAAATTGCCTGAGCCTGAGGACTACCTTGGGGTCGGAGGAGACATGGACCCTATTGGTTTTACCGAGAGTTCAACCAGCAACACAGCACGACTCACCTCATTCCTTACCTCAGCATCGCAGGTGAGATAATTTTTGCTGTCGTCAGTGGAGGTGTATGAAAGAGTCTGTTCCTCTTGTAGCAGAGTGATTAAGCCTTGCATTGCTATAGATCGAGCTATCTGCATATACTTGATCTACATTCTTGTTTATGTAGGTGATGCTGGCACTCCTGGAAGAAGAGCTGGTATGGGAGCTAGAGAATACCAAGAAGACAAATGACGTGGAGACTACATCCGATGGTTTAGGCTTCTCTCACCCGCCCGTACCCATGGGCTCTAGCGTCCAGTCTCTCCTTGAAGGTCGACCTTCTCCTTTTGTTCAGTTCTGCAACAGTGAACCAATGATGCTTTTATCTGGCCATGGTTTCAGAAATGTGGTAAGATCCGGAGTGATTGGTGTACTTAGTTCACTGGAAATTTGTTTAGAATGAAATGAACAAACTTATTTGGAACATGACTTGAAGGTAGAACTTTATGCTAAATGTGTATTATTTATATATATATTATTTTTTTCTTTCTATTTGATAAATTTCAGGAATATTTTTTGATAAATGTCAGGAATACTTTTTGATGAGTATTGATGTTAAGACAATGACCCTTCTTATACAGATGATAAAGATATTTATTTCAGGATGTAATATTGTTTCTTCACAATGTCCTCATTCTTTATTGTTAGCTTGTTACTGTAGTTCACCTTTTTTATCTTATAGGAAGAAGAATCTGAAGATGAGGCCAAATTGAATGAAAGCAGTCTCATTTGTGTTTGGTGGGTGCAGGAGCCCTCGCGTCCTCAGCACCTTCTTAGTTCTCGTTCAGTACCCACAAGTGCCACCTTCAGTCCTGGCCGTCCATCGTTGGTATTAGCTGGCTTAGAGGATGGGTCCTTAGCTGCGTGGGATCTCCGAGAGCCTGTCACCCTTCACACACAGTTTATAGAAATAGACGGAGTTATGTGGAAAGTTCGAGTGCCCTCGTTTGTCACAGGTAGTCATTGTTTACATTTATTAATGTTGGATTATGGACCTGTTTTATGTTTCAAGTGGATTTATTTCATAAGATACTTTGTTGTTGTGTATTGGTTATTTTCAGCTCCTTTATGACTAATATTTAAAATTTCATGGATTGTAAAGTCTTTAGATGTAGGCTTATTTGCAGAATGAACTCAAGGTCCTGAGGAAGATAATTTGATGTTTAATGTATATGATGAATTTCCATTTTGCCACAGCCTGCAATGAAGTTGGTGATGGAGAGGGAAGCAAAATTGTTTCAATACAGGCTGTAACTAAGCAGGAGGATATGGATATGAACAGCCAAGGATCATTTCAGGTATTTTTCAATTCATTTCATTTCATTTTGGTTTCATGTAACCAGAATTCACTTGGAACTTTGGCTTAGTGAATTTTCTTAGAAATAGAGCATTGTGATTTTTTTTCTTCTTTTGCCATAGGCATGGCATGTATTCTTTTCATTAATAAAATGACTTCCGACAGGTTGTTACACTGTCTAGGGATGGAAGAGTAACATGGTGGGTTGTTGTGCGGGTTCCACTTGTGAGTGCCGTTGGAGACATCCTTGGAGGGAAGAAGTCAGGTATTAATATCACGAAGAGCAATTCTGCAGTTGTCTCTCCGCATCTGGGAGCTTCACCCTGGTCGAGGATCGCTCTCAACCGATCAGCAACAATCAGTGTGGCTACAACTCTTTATGGGTAAATGTGCAATCTGATTTTGAAATGTTGTGTTGGATTGTATGTGTTCCCCCAGTATATGCAACAGCTAAATTTAGTGTGCAAGAAAAAGTAGTTGTTAATTTCTTAAAGTCTATATATATATCAATATGTTTATATAGATAGATAGATAGATAGATATGTATATAGATAAAAATATATATATAGATACAGATATAGATATATATAAATATATATATATATATATATATATATATATATATATATATATATATATATATATATATATATATATATATATATATTTATGTAAATATAAATATTAATATAGGTAGATAGATAGATAGATAGCTATAGATATTTATATACATATGAATATACATATATATATATATATATATATATATATATTATATATATATATATATATATATATATATATATATATATATATATATATATATATATATATATATATATATATATATATATATATATATATATATGCATATATATACATATATGAATATATTCACACACACATACACACACACACACACACAGACACACACACACACACATATATATATATTATATATATATATATATATATATATATATATATATATATATATATATATATATATATATATATTATATATATATATATATATTATATATATATATATATATATATATATATATATATATATGTATGTATGTATCTATGTATCTATGTATCTATGTATGTATTTATGTATATATATACAAATATATGTATATATGTGTGTGTGTGTGTGTGTGTGTGTGTGTGTGTGTGTGTGTGTGTGTGTGGTGTTATATATATATGTATATATATATTTGTGAATGGAAAAACACGCTGTTGATACAATGTTTTTTCTACTATAGTATCAACATGGTAGAGTGTTTTTTTATTCATTATGGACCACACAGTTGTTGTATATTGTAGACTTTTGTAATGCAAATTTAGTTCATAAAATGTTGTTGTTTTTCCAGTGAGGAAGTGCTCAGTGATGCAGTTTTATGTCATGATCTGAGATTAGATGCAAGTGACCCGAGTCAGCTGTATGTTGCAACGGTTAGTGGGGCGGTTGCTCACTGTTCCCGCCATTCTTCGCGCATGCATCCACGGGCCTACTTGCCTGAAATTGGTAGGTGCTGTGAAAACCTGTACGAGTTAACTGAGTCAATAAATTTCTGGAATAGATGCTGTGTTCAGTATTGTGATGAATTGATTTTTATATTGTTTAGTAAATGCCCTATCATTTTTCAGGTTTCCTGAGCTTTTATTTGATTTATTTAGTACCATGACTTTCTTAAACAGAACCTGGATGCGAAGCCCTCTGCCTTGCTCTATGTCCTCATGACCACCGGTACATACTCGTTGGAGGCAGCGATGGTGTTGTGAGACTCCATAGCACCGCCTCAGAAAGACCTCTTACATCCTGGCAGTCGTCGCCTGACTGTGTCCCTGTAGTGGACCTCCAGTGGTCACCTGCCCGACCATGTGTCTTTTATGTGCTGGATGCTAATGCTAGGTTAGTTTTTGATTGAGTTTAGCGTTTTAGAGGAAAGATGAAAAGGAAATATCATTATTAAGTATATGCATTAATATTACCAATAGCACTGAATGCCTAGAAAGCAACTTCTTAGATCATTCCTTAATTTATGTGTTCTTTTTGAAGGTTACATATATGGGACCTCAGTGCAGGTGACATCTTCCCAGTCCTGACGGTAGAAACAGGCGGCTTAGTTGGGGGAGTTTTAAGCTCATTCCACATTGCTCCCACAAAGACAACCTCACATCATCCTCTTCATGGTGTAAGTGGATGTCATGAAAATACCACGATTATATACAATAGAGGTTGCACTTGATTATAATTCTGGGATAGATTCTTTTACTACCACTGATGAGGATAATTGTCAATTGGTTTACTTGATTCTCTGTATAGATTCGCTTCTAAAAGAGGTACTATTATCATATGTTATATATATATTGTTTCTATCTCTTTTTTTCCCTTCACAGGTATTCGCAAATGACCAGGGAGAGCTGGTATTACGGCAGGTCAGTCCTGAATTTTGCACACATCAAGTCCTTGAAGATTACAACACAGAGCTGGAAAGGTTTACGTACTATGTCAATATTATTTAAAATCTTATGCAGGTACACCATTCCTCTGTTTTGTCTTTTAGGATATAATAAATTTATAAAAGTGGTATTATACAAAGCTATACAAATAAAGTTCATTAAACAAACGTGAAGCAAAGATTCTAGTCAGAATAATCATGCAATTGAAAGTAATGTGCTAGTCAGATCTTACCAATGAATTACAAGATTTTTGTGTAAGCTCTTATGTGTGTATATAGTGTAAGGTAGTATATTTATATACATATATATGAATATATATTTTTATCATTTTGTTTTGGGTTATCTTAATTTGTTTAGTTGAAATACTTTAAAATATATTATGAAAGTATTCTGCCTTTATTGATATAATAAAAACAAAAATTATTGAGCTAAGGAAGCAAAAATAAAGTAGGAAAGGAATGATGAGTAGTAAATTTGTACCCATAGGAATTCATGAGTACAATTATACTTTCAGTAGCTATCGGTTATGCATTCATATTCTGCTATGAAGCCCTGAAGGATGCTACTTTTGAAAGGCATTTCTTAGCCATTAGACACAACCTTGAGAATGTATAAAGCACTTCTCATACAAAGATATTAAAAAGTTAATGAATTGTAGTCACTTGCAAAACTAACATATATGATATGAGTTTGAAATGTACCTATTTTTCTTGTCAGGAGGTGAGGGTATTTACAGAAAATACAGTTATTGGTTTGCTTGCAAGGACTGCTATCTTTACTGGAGGTAGACACTGAATTTTCTAAACAACTTCTTGATAA